CGAAAACAATCGTCACTGGCATTAGAAACACAAATAAATATGTTTCCAAAATGAAACTAGAAATGTGTCCATAAGACACAGGTGCCCCCACACACCACTGTTCTGTTAATCTTATGACTCTAGGTCAAATATTTTTTGGACTCCATGTGTTACAAGTTGAAATCTAAAAATCTTTCACTAAGTAAAGGCCAAGAACTTTACAAATACTGAATAAATCCACAAACAAACCCCAGGTACATAAGTACACATGCTGACCAACATTCTTGTAAACTTTCAGGCCTACAAGTCAAATATTTTTTGAGCTATGCATGAACAAGTTGAAAATTGCAAATTTATACTTCTGTAAGTCAAGGGCAACAATTCTAATAAAACTGAAAAAAATCCACATGCAAAGTCGATGTTGATAGTTATTCCTGTAATTTAGTGATGTTGATCATTATTCCTGCAAAGTTGGTTGATTCTAACTCAAGCACTCAAGGAACAAATAGCAAAACAAAATAACAAAACGGTTTTTACTATGTCAAGGGCAATAACTCTACAATTATTTAATAAATCCATAAGCGAAACCCAAGATGCACAACTACATACTCTGAGCAAAATTCCCGTAAGGTTTCATGACTCTTTGTCAAATCCTTTTTGTGTTACATGCGACACAAAGTGAAAATTGCAAAATTTTACTAAGTCAAGGGCAATAACTTTGAAAATACTGAATAAATCCAGACGAAAATACCCAGGTGCACAACTACACATGCCGATCAACATTCCTGTAAAATTTCATGACTCAATGTCAAATCCTTTTCGAGTTACATGCGAAACAAGTTGAGAATTGCAAATTTTGACTAAGTCAAGGGCAATAACTCTAAAAATATTTAATAAATCCAGACAAAAATACCCAGATGCACAACTGCACATGCTGATCAACATTCCTGTAAAGTTTCACGACTTAATGTCAAATCCTTTTCGAGTTACATGCAACACAAGTTAAAAATTGCAAAATTTTACTAACTCAAGGGCAATAACTCTAAAAATACTATATAAATCCAGACGAAAATACCCAGGTGCACAACTGCACATGCTGATCAACATTCTTGTTAAGTTTCATGACTAATACTTTTTGAGTTACGTGCGACACAAAAGGGAACGGACGGACGGATGGACGGACGTGCCACTAAAATGGACTAAAGGGCAATTTCTTTTGTTATTTTCTCTTGTTTAATAGAGGGCCATGAACCTTTATTCTATTGTTACGGAAAACTCTATTGTTCTCTTTTGTTCTGTTTACAGTAAGATGGCCCTTTAGTCCATTTTAGTGGCTCGGACGGACGGACGGAAGGACGGATGGACGGACGGACAAGGGTAAATCTAAATCCCCCCCCCCTTAAAGTGGGGGCAAATAAACAAAACAACAATCTATTCACCACATGAATTAATCTCATAAAATCAATTGCAGGGCAGATAGTTTATCTATAATATTTGGGAAGAGTTACAAGTCTTCCCAAATAATATACATAATACAGTTGTCATAATTTATCTTAACCTAGTTATCATATTTCTGTTTGGAGAAAATCGCTAAGCACTTTAGTGAAAATTTCAAAGTTTGTATTGTATGAATAGGAACAGTTCAGACTATAATCAGAAGACCATTATGTGCCGACGGTTCTTTGAAAGGGTAGAACCAGTGTGGCGCCTTTCTATGTTGCAACGCCGCTAAATGTCGCACTTACCGCTAAATGTCGCACAATTGCCGCTAAATGTCGCAACCGCCGCTAAATGTCCCAAAATCATTTGCCACTAAATGTCGCAATGTTAACGTTAAATGTCGCACGAATTTCCCCTACCGTTAAATGTCGCAACACTGCCGTTAAATGTCGCAAGATGAAAATTCATGTTAAAATCATGATTAAAAGTAGTTCGTGAAGTTGGCAGCCTAGCAGCCTAGCAGCCCAGCAGCCTGAAGTTGGCAGCCTAGCAGCCTAGCAGCCTGGCAGCCTAGCAGCATAGCAGCCTGGCAGCCTAGCAGCATAAAGAAAACTAAGAATAGTACAAACATGAAATCGTCGGATATGAATCGGAAGCACATACTTAGACCATTGCACGTCTTATTTAAGTATCGCGATCTTTATTTTTTTAAATATTGAACTTTGCTTTTTTTTATTTTGACGCTTCGAAATTTGTGAAGTTAGCAGCCTAGCAGCCTGGCAGCCTAGCAGCCTAAAGAAAACTAAGGAAAATACAAACATGTAAACTGTCGGAAATTAGTCGGTAGCACATACTTAGACTATTCCACGTCTTTTTTCAGTATCGCGGCTATTGATCAAATGGGTATTGTTCTTAAGTTCAGATAATCTTTATGTTCATTAATGTGTTCGTTTAAACATATGCATTGTATATCTCTTTTACATTTCAACGATTTATCTTTACAGACCTAAAATAAATATGCGTTGAACATCGTCAACTTCATTAAACATATACATACAAAATAGCATATCATAAATAAGTCACATGACGTCGCTTATTGTCCATAGACAGCGACATTATTAGCCGCGAAAATGTTAAGATTAAGACTACTTCCTACGTTATTCGAAAACATGTTTAATCCCGCAAACTTTGAAGCGTCAGAATGAAAAATAAAATAAAATTCAATATTTAAAAAAATAAAGATCGCGATACTGAAATAAAACGTGGAATGGTCTAAGTATGTGCTACCGACTCATTTCGTTTGTATTATCCTTAGTTTTCTTTAGGCTGCTAGGCTGCTAGGCTGCCAGGCTGCTAGGCTGCTAACTTCACAAATTTCGAAGAGTAAAAAAAAACAAAGTTCAATATTAAAAAAAATAAAGTTCGCGATACTGAAAAAAGACGTGGAATAGTCTAAGTATGTGCTACCGACTCATTTCCGACGGTTTACATGTTTGTATTGTCCTTAGTTTTCTTGAGGCTGCTAGGCTGCAAGGCTGCTAGGCTGCTAGGCTGCTAGGCTGCTAGGCTGCCAACTTCAGGCTGCTGGGCTGCTAGGCTGCTAGGCTGCCAACTTCACGAACATTAATTAATTATGCTCATATTGGCCTTGCTATTTGGTTGAATACAGCTAGCCGTATTGGCCAGGGAATCTAGGCTTTTTATATTTTATTGTCACATGATTGGCGTCCGCGCCGAAGCGCGGCGCCCCTTTATGGAATGAAATCAGATTTTGTGAAAGGGCGACAGCAACTTCTCGAGCCTTTTAGTCGGTAATAATAAAAGCCGATCATTCCGATCGGTATGAGGGTGCTTGATTATTATTAATTAAAAATGAAATGTGGCGATATGTACAATGAATAGCGAACTGGAGAATTTCGCAATGCAAACATTTTCAAATGAAATAACCTTTTCCGTCTCTTCAGTTTTTTTTATTTATCATTTTGTAGTACATAGAATGATAAGTTGATGACCTAAATGTCTACTGTCTACCTAAACATTCCGAAAATCTATTTATAGAAGGATGTACTCCTATCGTTAATTCCCGGTCTCTCCCGGTCTATTTTGACCGGTATTTACTAGTGACCGGCGAATAGAATCACACGTTTAGTGTCCGGTCTCTCCCGGTTTTGGAGTAGATGTTTGATATCGTTTCAGAAAAGAACCAATTTTTTACAGATAAATAAGCTTTTTTCCAAAATAAATGTTTGTCACTTAGTTTGTAACTCTATATGAGATAAAAACATTAAATATGTACAATAATTGAGCAAAAAGGTACATTTTTATGGTATTAATATGACACTTTCAACTTTGAAACATTTTATTTAATTTTTTATTCGTGTTTAGTAAAGATGCCGAGGAATTTTTCAAAGTTACAAAATAGATTTTATGAATTTTTCAATGGATTGATATTTTAAAAAATGATAAAGAAAAATACAAATGTACATGTACATGGTTTAAAAATAAACAATATTATATATTGAAAGATTAACCATAATTTACTGACTTTTTCCAGTTAAGTTTTGACTTATAATCGTCGGTCAATATGACAATTGAATTCTTAAAATTTATTTTACAATTTTAATAAAAAAAAGAGTAGTAAACGTAAAAAACTCAGTATTAAAATTGCACATAAAACACAAAAAAGAGAGGAAAACAATATTCATAAAATCTGTATTTTTTATAATAAAATAGATATTACAATTATTGTATAATAAACAACATGCTCAACATGATCAACATGGTAATATAACCAGTGTCATATTTTTACTAAGTGTGAACAGATACCTTAAGAGGGGGTCTTCGCTATTTAATAGCGATAACATAATAAAGGACACTTTCTGCATTTCTAGCTTGGACGCCCTTTGATGCTTTGCATCAATGCTTTTCTTGTTGCTTTTGCTGTAATGAAAATCTTAATCTGTAACGATTTCAATGAAATTTAATCTAAAATTTTCGAAAAAAAAAAACACACAAGACATACATTATACATGGGTAACGACGATATTAATTATATCTGTAACCACTTTTATGCTCGTAGTTTTTTTGTCACGAGTTTGATTAGAACTTTTTGATTTCTTATCGTGTTCTAACGCGCATGTCGAGAACATCATAGTAAAATTCAAATGACCATAAATACAAAACATAGGCACTATAGAGTATTTATTTTAAGAGAACTTTAATTTATTAACGGGTATTCTTACTACTAAGTAGCTTTCCAGCGACAAGGTTCGAAAGCAGACGGAACTTTAGTTATTGCCGAGATATCTTTCGTTGAAAGATATGGGGTCTAAGATGACGCAATTTCTTTATAAATGAACAAAACCATATATAGCAGATACGTATGAATGTAGAACCAATAGTAGCATTTCTAAGCTATTAAAACGGTAGAACCAAAGATCATCATGCACATATCTTTACATTGCAGATATAGCACCGTCTGGAACTGCGCAACACTTCTAATACAAATAGTTATATTTCCCAGAAGAAAACATAACTGATTAATAAATAGTCAATTGTGAATAAAATAACAGAACACAGAATGATTGGAATAAGGCCGTGACTTTATTGTGCTTTTTGGTGAAAACAAATATCATCGTCAAAAAATATGAAATGAATGAGAAAAATATGAAAGACAGCTCCCAGCTAAATGCATGGAAAGCTACATAGCAACGCAAAGTGCTGTAAACTATGATAATAAGCTCTGAAAATGCTAAACTCTGCTTGGACTTGCCGCAAAGAGGTCAACGATTAAGAATATAAAGCGGCGTGGCATTTTACAAGAGTAAAACAATAACAAAGCTAAAGAGAAATCGGGGCAAATTGCTCCCATTAAATCTCTTATCAATGAGATATTCGCAATGATAATGAAAAGTCTTGAATATAATTTGACTTAGAGAAGTTACAGTAATACTATATAAAGTCACGACTGGATTTAACACACTAATGTATCAATTACTAGTATACAAACGTATTTGCATTATGAAAGATATATTCTAGTTTTCAGATATGATCAATAAAGTTAGGTATGTAAAAATAGTAAAATAAAAACATTTTGATTTCCTATACCATGAAACTTGCAAATTGTGGTCGACTCGCCCAGGAAAAACCAAATAAAACCCAGTGGGAAAAATAGGAAACCTGTACCCGTTTGTCAATGTCATACCACAAAAATGTCGGGTCGCATCCTTGCAAATTCATTTAAGCATTAGAATATATAAAAAGGCACCATTTTAATCATTTAGCTCAATTAATTATTGTTAATACTAATAAATATTTTAATAAATTATTTTTAAGTATCGAGTAATGTTCCAAATTACAACTGTTTATTTCTACAACAAAGTTTGTTGTAATCAGACGTAGAGCATCCAATTATTACTTTGAGTGTCAACACATTTCAAACACTAAATACGTGGGATAAAATGTTTTCTGTAGACTGTAATTACTGGACATCAAATTCAAGCACACGTGTCGATGGAGCGGCATGGCATGGCTGAACGGGAAGTAATGAAAAACCGACTGGATTCAAGCTGAAAAATATAAACACTCGGCAGCAGAACATGTTTATGTAAAATTGAAATACAAATAACACATGGGAAGGGAGGGTGGGATTTTAATAAGCGATGTTTCCACGTCAAATTTTAAACTTTAAATGCGCAGCCTTTACAATGTACGCACGAAAAACTCGTGCTTGGTAAACTTACGAAAACCAGTTTTATCGGAATGTTTTACCGTTTCACACGGATGGGTTTTGAGGCAATTACACATATGCACCCGTCAAAAATTAAACGGGATTTATTTCTCAAAAGAAGATAAATCTACTTAATTTATTAACGGGTATTCTTACTACTAAGTAGCTTTCCAGCGACAAGGTTCGAAAGCAGACGGAACTTTAGTTATTGCTGAGATATCTTTCGTTGAAAGATATGGGGTCTAAGATGACGCAATTTCTTTATAAATGAACAAAACCATATATAGCAGATACGTATGAATGTAGAACCAATAGTAGCATTTCTAAGCTATTAAAACGGTAGAACCAAAGATCATCATGCACATATCTTTACATTGCAGATATAGCACCGTCTGGAACTGCGCAACACTTCTAATACAAATAGTTATATTTCCCAGAAGAAAACACAACTGTTTAATAAATAGTCAATTGTGAATAAAATAACAGAACACAGAATGATTGGAATAAGGCCGTGACTTTATTGTGCTTTTTGGTGAAAACAAATATCATCGTCAAAAAATATGAAATGAATGAGAAAAATATGAAAGACAGCTCCCAGCTAAATGCATGGAAAGCTACATAGCAACGCAAAGTGCTGTAAACTATGATAATAAGCTCTGAAAATGCTAAACTCTGCTTGGACTTGCCGCAAAGAGGTCAACGATTAAGAATATAAAGCGGCGTGGCATTTTACAAGAGTAAAACAATAACAAAGCTAAAGAGAAATCGGGGCAAATTGCTCCCATTAAATCTCTTATCAATGAGATATTTCTTGACGACAACATTTTTATCAAATACCGAAATGCACATTTTGTGTGTTGAGGGCCACTTAATATTTCAAGAAATGAAATTCGCCACTAATGATTTTCATAGTGAATGCACGTATTTGCGAAAGGAAAATGTAAAGATTTGATACAGTTGATGCCTTGGGTTTTCCTAAGTAGTTATTTATTAATTATTTTCATAACTCCTGCGCTGAAATGGTAAAATGCTTATTGGATACCAGTCTGATCTCGACTACCCTGAAATATGCATCAGTGAAAATGAAGGAAAAGCGAGAGAAGTACATTATCATCTATACTGAAGGAAAGGCGGAACAAGTACGAGATAAACATTTTGCATGTCAAGAAAACAAAAATCAAAAAATAAATAAATAAAAATTGCTCAAACAACCAAAGAGAAACAAAAAGGGGAGAAGGTGTGTAGTACATATTACTACAATACATATATTTTAAACGCCATCCACAAAAGAGTCTGAGCTGAGCATCGGACCGGAAAGACAGGGGGACTTACATGTCTGTTTCAACAAAGCCGTGTGTTAGAGGTATGTAGCAAAGACAACGCGGCGAAAGCGATAAGTACGGACCTACACGTACATATCAAATGCTGCTCCTTCAACTTTCGACTAGCCACTTAAAGGCGTCGGCCGGCAAGTTGATTTTTTGCAGCCCTGTCCAAATAAGACACAGACAAATTTATGGACATGGCTTACTGGCCGACCGCATGGTCACAGGCCCCCTCTAACGGTTAAGGGCGCACGCCCATTAACACCAATATAAGAGATAACCGCAGAACGCAAGGTGCTGTTACAAACGGTTAACCTAGGAAATGTGAGCATAACTTTATCGCGGCAATATCGTTTTTTTTTTTAATTTAGAAATATGCAAATGCTGTTTCAGACTTTTTTTTTATGCTCACGACCGGGCATTGAATGCTATGTGACAGACTTAAATCTCAATTTCTTATGCCGCCTTTCCTTCAATACAAAATTACTAAATGAAACGATATGCATGCGTTGTAGCATGCCGATTGATGCTATGCAGTCGCACAATACAGCATATGTTTTGGGACAATTATCTCTGGGAAAAAAAATTGCTTGGTAGAACCATTGACCTTTTCAAATAAAACGGTTTTGGTCATCAAAATACATAGGCTGTAAGACGATCAAACGGAAAATAAAATGAAGTAACTTAGATAAAGAGACTATTAGCTAAAGATTTCTAAAGGGAAACAAACAAAACTTGACAAACACAACGTAGCACTTTAAATCAGGTCACTTCCCGCAAAACGTGGAAAAACTGAGGTGCCTTTAAACAGACCAAAGACACTGCAAACAAGGTCGTCGGTTCGAATCCTTTATCTTTTATATACATATATTGAAGGAAGTAGAAGTTTCAATTTCTTATTATTTAATGATAATTGGCCCTTGTTTATTATGTATTGCTTAATTAATTAACAAATATGATCGACAATTTCAACTTCTCTTTAATTCGTTAACATTATCAATCAATTTAAATACTTTAGAGAAACTTTGGATTATAACTAATTAAAACGGCATATTTAATCAATGTTTAGAATTTGACAATGTTAAACACGAAAAAAAAAAAATTGTCGTACGGATGTTAAAATAGTAGGAAAGTCATATAAGAAACAACAAATTAGCTTGAGTGGACTGTCAAAGTTTAGTCCGATAGGCCGCTAGGCCGCAAACTTCACAAAAAAGATAAAATAATAAAAAAGTTCTTTTATGATTCCCTGTTTGTTTTATATATATATATTTTTTTTTTTTTTTTTTTTTTTTTTTTTTTTTTAAAGCTGCATGCCTCCAGATGAGTCAAAATATTTCAATAAAATCTAACTTGAGAAATATGTACTATGATTTTAGGAAAAGTAGAATGATTCAAGATTCAAGTAATATTTTACATTTAATGTGCGATAAATGACTGATTTTCCAATATTTACAACTACATTTCTACTGCGTTACATGTTCTAATGCAGTAAGGACTATTTATGCATATTTTGACAACTTTTTGGTAATTTGCTTGGGTTGTAGATGCTATTGATAATGTGCAAATTGCTTCCTTTTGGTTATTTCGCAATATTATACATTCAAATACATTTAAAAAAAATCATGAAAATTAGCGTGAATTTGGAGGCGCGCTGCTTTAATATCAAGAATTGTCAAAAGAACTTCACAATGTGCCGTTTTTATTGTTTTTATAAAATTTCTACAACTGTAAAATTTTAGGTTGCCAGGCTATTCTTTATGAATATGCATTTTTCCTTTCTTTCTTTTATGTAACTTTAAAATGACTTCAAAATTAACTATGAGTCGACAAACTTCTACAACACTAAGTTCAGGCCACTGGGCCGCCAACTTCACGCCGCCAGGCCGCTGAGCCGCTACTAGGCCACTGGGCCGCTAGGCTGCCAACTTCAGACTCAATTACTATACATCTCGTGCATGAAAGAAATATTTCTACTTGATAATCTATCCAACAAATCAAGTTAATATTAAAGATCAATGCAAGTAATTACCTTTTACATGAATAGCGTGAATTAAGGAGTCATTTCCCATCAGCACATTGAACCATGCCATGCCGCTATCCATCAGCCCATAACATCAACCGGTTCCTTCCTTGATATACCTTTGCTCTGGAAGTATTACAGCACGATTCGAGTTTTCACGTGTTCGTCTATATGTCTATAGACATAGCTGCACACATCAGTCTGTATCAGTAATACTACAAAATAAATCAAAAACATGTACATCTGTACACGACTAAATATTTTCCAAGCTCTGTGTTAAGTTTGTTTTTTTTGTTTGTATTACTTTTAACAATAACTTAGTATCTGTATTTAAAATCGAATTGTAAACTTTATTTAACATATAAAATAATGATTAGTCATGCGGAGATAGCCGAGTCATTGTACTTATGCATATACATGTATAAAATTTACACATAAGACACGTGTTCGCGCCCACGCCTTGTGTCGCACATGAAGATTTGAAATAAGCAATCTTACAATTTTTCATGACCAAATAGCAAAATGTCAGTGGTAGTAAACATAAAAAACAACAACATTTGATATCTATATTATATATACCATATCGAACCAAGTTAGCAAATTTTGTGTAAGTTATATCTACACTGTGAAATGCATATTGAAAATCACTGCCATACTAAATTCAAAATACACATCTTATAAAACCAAAATTAATTAAAATAACATGAAATACTTATCTGAAAGACGAATTGGTGAACACTTGAAACCAGCTGTGTTGAACTTTTGAAGCATTTCAAATAACGACAGCAATTTTAATAAGCGATGTTTCCACGTCAAATTTTAAACTTTAAATGCGCAGCCTTTACAATGTACGCACGAAAAACTCGTGCTTGGTAAACTTACGAAAACCAGTTTTATCGGAATGTTTTACCGTTTCACACGGATGGGTTTTGAGGCAATTACACATATGCACCCGTCAAAAATTAAACGGGATTTATTTCTCAAAAGAAGATAAATCTACTTGACTTCTGTACAAGATTCTATCCAACACATACCAGGTTGTCTCTTAGGATGCTAGGCTGCCGACTTCTAGGGCGTTAGGCAAACTCCTAAGGCCCATGTCGTCAGCAATTTAGGCTTCCTCTTCCGGCTGCGAGACGATTTGCCTCCTCAGCCTACTAGGTCATCATTCTGCAAACTCAGACTGGCCGTTAGGCTGTTTCTTTTGCTAATTTTACAGACATGTTTGTACAAAACTACTTACATAACAATGTAAATTTTGCAGTTTCATACAAATGGTAGACAATTTTGTATAATTAATTTATCAATATGTACTTGTATAAGATCAGGTAAAAATCGAACGCAAAACAATATACATTTATTTATGATATGAGTATTATCGTTGTATAATTTGCAGCGCATTTCCATATATGATAAAATCACTCGTTTTCAAACAGGCATAATTCGTCTTGAGTAGGCAGATTTAATTGATATAACACAATAGTTCAACGTCTTGCGACATTTAACGATAGTGTTGCGACATTTAACGGTAGGGGAAATCCGTGCGGCATTTAACGCTAACATTGCTACATTTAACGGCAAATGATTTTGCGACATTTAGCGGCGGTTGCGACATTTAGCGGCAATGGTGCGACATTTAGCGGCAAGTGCGACATTTAGCGGCGTTGCGACATATAATGGCGCCACAACCAGTGTCATCAACAAGATAAAAGTTAGGAGTATTCTTATATGAGCCGCGTCCAGCAATTTTCGTCCCTGTACAGTTAGAAATGATCCCCAAATAAGGCCATTAAACGGCCACGTGATTACTGCGATAAATTTGTCATGACCGGATAACATTACTTTAAAAGACATACAGTTTCCTATGAGTGATATACAAAAGATAAACTTAAAAGGTCAGAAAAAAATGAAATGGACGATTAGGACAACTAATGCTACACGCGGCTCATTTACATTTGACAAATTCACAACCTAGATTTATAACAAAACTCTAGAAAAGAAGAAATTATCGCAAGCATGTGGCAGTTGGCTCAATGTCACAAAGTTTCAATTCATTAATGTATGAAACTCATATGGAAGAATATCTTAATATTCACAATTTATTCAACAGATTCAGTCTTTTAATATCTTTAAACTGATCAGGTATTTCCATCAAGGCCTGAAGTGCTATTGCTGCTTGCGGATTTCTTGCTTCTGATTTGGTTTTGTGAAATTCTACAAACTGGAAATTGTCAAACTTTCTCTCAGGTAATTTATTATCAAAGTCCCGCATAACTTCCCATGGTCCGTCACCTACACCTATTACAACAATTGAGAGAGGATAGTTTGAGGCGGTTACTATAGCATCTATTGTCTCCTCCTCGCTAGTTACCTGACCGTCTGCAACAATCACTAGAATGTGGTACTGAAATATGGTACGTAATAAAACATAATTAATATACTGTTTGATAAACAATCTAACATTAATGTTATCAAATGAAGATAAACTACGGAGATATACGCAACAAGAATAGACTTGATATCCTTCATTGAATTTGATTTTGACATTAGTGATTTGTTAAGTCCATTCGGATCTGGACAAAAGGAGGACACCTGTAAGATTGAAGATTGAAATTGCTGGGAAATAAAATCATTAATGTGCAGTTTGACTCGTTTTACTAGTAATTTAACAGTAAAGAACTTACTTTTATTGGGGAGGGGATTTTTTTCCCTATTTTCATTTAACAAATATCTAACTTGGCCTTAATATTCATCATCTAACATTGTAATGAATGCTTAAAAAACAATTGTAGCTCATACGAGTGCTACCAACAGACCGTCTTGCACATTGCTTGTTTTAACATTGTCATATAAATTAATGTAAATTGTTCCATAATGCAGGTTCTGTTATACCATAAATTAAAACGTATATTGATAGTTTTTCATTATTGTGTGTAGTTGTTGGTTTTTTTGTTTTTGTTTTTTTTTTTCATTTTAAAAATACCTGTTTTTCTTTTTTAACAATATCAATAGCTTCTTTTATAAGCGGAGCAAAGTTAGTTGGTCCTCCAAGTTTAATTGATGGTGTGACTTCATTATATACATCTAACACTTCGGCAAAACCATCACATTCTCCCTGTAAAATATAAATCCTCGTATCACAATAATAGATACAATGTCATTGTATTGGAAATAACCTCATGTTATAGGAAGGAAACGATGCCGTATAACTGGTAACAATTGTATACAATGTCAAATTACTAGTATTTGAAACAACTTTTTATCACTTAAATGATGTCATGTTATCAATGGAAATAATGTAATTTTGTTGGAAACTGTATCATATCAAAGGATGCACTGCCATATCATTGAAAGCTACGTCATATCTTTGGACACTAATATGATAACATTGACAGTCATGTCAAATGGAAAGTAACATCATATGTCAGGGATGGGAGAACATTACTTCCAGTGCAAGAAGTTGCCGAACAGACAATACAACATATGTTTCAGCACTCACAGGAAAGAGATTCAATATATGTCTACAGCAAACAAGTAAACTCAATGGTGGAATAGCTACTGTGGTTTAATTGTTAAGGCTAAATATGTGTATATGCCAACTAGAAGGAATTATTTGTGACGTATTTAAGCTGAAAGCATTTTATTTTCAGAGATTATCGCAAAGCGCGGCCAATGATGGAGCAATATTTTATCACAAGGCCATAATTTATTTGATTTAATTGATATATTTTTACAAAAAATTTGGATGGGCAATTAGCAATTAGACAGAGCATTTTGTTTTCAGCTCAACTAAAACTCATTTGGAAAGTTGGGCACGTAAAAAGTGTGTCTTAAATTATGCACCTGTCTTTGTATGTGAACGGGAGGATATCTTTGTATGAAAAAAATGGGAATAACTTAATTAAAGGAGAATATAATATTTTGTCATATAACACAACTTCAAACGTGATAGTAAACAATTGATTAGGTGAAATACATTCTAAAATTGCTAACAAAACTGTGATAATTGATTATATATATTACCTCAGTCTTCAATGGGAATATGCCTTTATCCTTGACCCGTCTATCACCGAACCCATATGCTGGTATTATACCATCATCATCTAAAGGTTCTAGAGTCTCACCAAGTATACATATAACCTGTCATATAACCGAATAACATATTAGAAATTAGTATTTAATATTACAGTGGTATATGCCTTTATATTAACAGTAACGCATTAATATTATACAAAAATAGCCTAGCATATCCAAGCCAATGGGTCTGTTAGTCCGCTTTAAGTTAGATATCTCATCTGTTAACGGAAAATAACAAGAACAAATGATACAGAATATAAATGGTTTCAAAATGATTCATGGCATAATAATATCAAGAGAGTTATTGTCGGAATCTTAAATGTATAAACTCATATGCTTGTTGTGTTAGCTCGACACTGTAGGGGTTATATGGCGAGTTTCGTGGAGGAATAACTCAGGTAAATGAGTTGCTATCTGTGTAAACCCACTGACCTTCCGTAGAAAAATATAACAATTATTCAGTTGTTATTTCATACTTTGAAGATGAACATGTAGTACAGAGCATTGTAGGAGCACATTTGTCTCGGAGCACATTTGTCTCACGAAGTGTGACCGGTGTGTTTGTAAACATTCATATTTGCGACAAATTGGAAATGAGACAGATGTGTTCGACACACAATAGAAAGGACACTCGAAGCACATTTGTCTCACATTTTTTCCATAAAATTCTTAAAAGGTAATAATTATGTTCATCTGTATACCGGCTACCAACCATTGTTCTGTGTTTTCTGTATTCATAATATCGTTTTTGGGTCACTTCCAGTCAGTCAAAAACTTCCTGCCTCTGCATAGGAGTCATATATTAAATTAAAGAATATCCCTGTTCTGCATGTCACAATGAAAATTTCTACAATGGCAGCATCCAGAACCTAAACACATATGCAGCAAGTCTTTTATTATCGTTATCAATTGTGATGCGTCTATTTTCAATGCTTAAAGTTTTATAGATGATTTATGGCACTAAAATATTCATAGCAAAAACAAGGTAGTATCTTCGGTGGCATAAAGGGGACATAAGATTTTCTTTTTAATAAAGTGCGCACACGAAAGCTTTTCCGTGGCCACGCGATACGGACCACGGAGGCCATTAAATGATCCATGAAGAAAATAAGAAGACCATAACATACGTTTTTTGTTTTCATATAAAAAGTCATTTTCCAAGAATTGCGGCTTTCAGATTCGCCATTGAAAAGGCACTTACAAAATGCATGAGTTCCTAAAATAATCCGGGTAATGCCATAATTATGGAATATCGGGCCACTCATAATCGGGCGAGACGCGACATTCCGATCAGACACGAAACGAGGCGCGATATTGTAACAGGAGATCTCGCTATGTCAAGTATCCCGTACCAAGAGATTTCAGAAATGAATAAATTTTTACTTCTTTAGATAGGGCAAGTATGAATTTATTAATATTCAAATAATGATATCTGAGTAAGTTAGATGCTTGCAACCCAAAGAAATTCGCGATAAATGTGAAATAATGCGTCATAAAAGTAGCAAACTGTAAACAATGTAGTACTTTGACTTCAATACAAAATTCTAAATCACTTCACTTGTACAAACTGCAAAAAACACACAAAAAAACAGCAGATGAAAAATGCTTCAGGTAATTAGCCAATATGTAATTTTTTCGAGCTAAAAAAAGTATACCAAAAATAAAAAGCTTTTGAGGGATACAAAAAAAAGCATTTCTCAGACATGATGGGCCTTTAAGTGATTTTATGTAGACTATAAAGCGAATACTACTTAGCGGTATATGACCTGGAATCAATTTCTTGTCTCGCGTCGACGAACGGGATGCGAAGCGAGACGCGAGATTTCGGCGAGTTGCGATATCAACCGATTATGGTGTTCGGTTTGGACATAAGTAACATTTTTGTTTCCCTGAACAGCTATGCACAATGGTACAAAGGTGGAATTGAGATGGTACGATGATTACGATAGAGAAAATAATATCGCGTTTTCATCAGCATACCATCGCAGTTTCATCATATCGTACCATCGTATTTTCACCATCGTAACATCGTCTTTCGTCATAGTACCATCACGTTTTCATCATCGAGCCTTCGTTGTTTCACCATCGTACAATCGTTGTTTCACTATCGTACAATCGTCGTTTCACGTTCGTATCATTGTGTTTTCACCATCGCACCATCGCGTTTTCATCAACTACCATCGTGCCATCGCGCTGTCCCCATTGTACCATCGTGAACGGGATTTAGTACGTTTCAGTGTACACCTTCAGGTTATGTCAATCAATTTCTTGAATAAGAGATATTATAATTAATAGCTTACTGTAGATTTTCATAAAGAAAGCATAAGCAAACTTATTGATGATTGCACTTGAGGTAAAGCGGCGAACCTCGATTCATAAAAAGAATTTCTGCCGTGGGGAAATATGTGACAAATAATTTATAAAAAAGGACATGAGACAAATGTGCTTTCTTGTCCCTTAAAACACATGAGACAAATGTGCTTTCTTGTCCCTTAAAAAACTTGATCGAAGCACATTTGTCACACAAATGAGTTTTTTGGGGTAGACATTTGAGGTCCCATTTGTCTCATGTGGGACAAATGCGACCGCATCGGTCTTACGTAAGACAAATGTGCTCCGAGACAAATGTGCTCCTACAGAGCATTGTATAGTCTCTCGGTTTTGGTCGCCATTATCATATCACCTTATGTGTTATTTAAGGTGCAGCATTATTTAGGGGCTGGTTTTAATCAGAAATTGCAAATCTGTAATATCCCTGTGGGATAGATTTCTCCCTTTTCACTACAGTGACAAATATTGAGCATTTTAATCATTATATAATCAAACACGTGAACAAAGTAATTTGTAATACGATTACCAACCTCCTGGTATGGATTAACTTTGTCATCAGAAATATCATGAAGACTGGAACCTCCGAATGTTATCTGACCTTGCAATTTGTTGCTTAATGTATAATCTATACCTGAAAAATAGGTTACAAAAATTGATTAAAGATACACATTATTATAGTAATAGCCTAATTATCCAACAATATTGACCCGTCACTTCATTAACTTTCGTAAAGGTCATTGGATAAACAGTGGTATCTAACAAATATATCAATATATTTGTGAACTTCACACGTCTGTAAGGTGTGCTGTATTGGTATAGATTTCGGACTACCGATCTAAAGGTCCTTGGTTCGATTCCTAACCAACTACATGTTATGAAGATACACATTCTTTAGATTTACTTGCAATCTGGTGTTAGGATACCAAAAGAAGAATTTGTTTATACAATTATATTTTTTATATTTCGTTACATTATCTTTAATAAAAAGTACAGCGCGTCTATTATACAAATCAATAAATCGACTTGTCGACTTCACTGTCAGTGTCAGTCGTATTGCCCATACTGGCAGTTTTAAAAGAATGGCAAGTTTGAAATTATGTCATTTTTGATTCTCAATATTTCGATTTTTTTGTGTATTAATTTAATATTGTATATATAAACCTACATCAATTAAACAGCTATTTCTAAATATGTTAAGTATACAAAAGGAATGGACCAAACAATTTTGCAACAAAATGGCGAGCAACGTTATATCAAGTTAATGTTAGATTTAGCAATTATAGAGGATTATAACCTACCCAATAGTCTTACAATGTTTATTTTACTTTTTCTTTGAAGTGAAATCTGCATGACACTAAACTGTCTCAATACGCTTTAAAGGGACTCCACTGAAGTTTTTTGACATGGCGGGATTGAAAATATTTTTCAAGATTTATGTTCGATTTGATGTAGATCTTGTGTGTGAAATTTCACATCATTTGCTCACTCCGTTTTTCCAGAATAATTATTATAATTGTGAAACATAATCCAAAATTGAAAAGCGCTGCTACGCTTTTCATTCAAATTGGAATAAGAATAACACAAAAATTCGATTAATAAGTATATTTATGAATCATCTTTTGCATATCTGTCTGTTAAGAGTGCGATAACTGGTCTATGTAAGAAATTCAATTTGTAGGCTTTGAATGTCAGTGGAGTTCCTTTAAAACAAGTTAAAACTCACCAAATATGAGACCACAATTATCAACACCTTCTTGTTTTATAGCTCTACTAACTTCTTCTAGTGTTTCAAACCTGTCAATGTTAGATGCAAATGCTGGTTCACCACATGTTGATATAGAATCACTGGCTAACATCTTTGACTCTTCTCTCTGGGGACCTTCAGGGCGCGTACTAAAATTGTAATTATATCTTCTTAGCTTTCATTGAAGTATGAATAAGAAAATAATGAAGAAAACCGTCATGATTCAAGAACCAATCCATTATACAGATTTATAAATTTATTCAAGTTAAGTATAGATAGTATATTACTCCTACACCAATGTATGACACTCAACGAGTAAAAAAATACAGGATGTAAAATACTCGGTTAATCTGAATTATTGGAATTTGTTTTCCTCTGGTTATATTTCGGCAAAATTTCATTTATGGTGCCTTTATTTCAGTTTTTAATTAATATAAAAATGTATAAAAAAAACCATAGATTATCCAGGCATTTGCGTATTGCCTCGTCTAAATCCATGTCAAAGCCGTTGAATATGTTCACATGTTCACTTTTATTTACTGTTTCATAATACACAGTCCCATTGCAAATTGGTCAGACATGTACTCGTATTGCAACGAAAACATAACTAGCCATTTTATTTACATTTAGTCGATAAATACGACATATACATGATGATTGTATACATACTAACAAACATCCACATATATCACAATAATGCATAATTAACCTCAAATGAAAAACGGGTCTCTAATCAGAGATCTATTCACAAATATTGTATTACACTGTATATAAGTGCGTGCATATTCAACAACTTTAACCTGATATCAATAATAAAACATGAAAAGCCAAACATCCTTATAAATATTTAAAAAAAAGATATGAAAAAGTGATACTCTATAAAGTCGCCAAAAAGGTAAGTAATCGCTTATCAAGTTTACTGATGTAAATAAACTTAAATATGTTAAATCTGTTCAACATTATCAATAAATAACAGCATGGTCGTTCCGTAAATGTATATAACCTTAAGCACGCCTAACCATCTTAAATGAACTTGTAAATCTTCCAATCTGGACAAAGGAAACTTTTAAAAATATTTACTGATGGGTAGAATATGTGCCTGCAAGAAGGCTAGAATTTAACCGAGTGTTACATCAATCAACATTTTGCCAGGTTATTATAACTAATGATATAAACGATTATCCAACGATAGTCAACATTACAGACATGCACCAGTTCTAGTATATTACATAACTAATGATATAAACGATTATCCAACGATAGTCAACATTACAGACATGCATCAGTTCTAGTATATTACATTACTAATGATATAAACGATTATCCAACGATTGTCAACATTACAGACATGCACCAGTTCTAGTATATTACATTACTAATGATATAAACGATTATCCAACGGTAGTCAACATTACAGACATGCATCAGTTCTAGTATATTAAATTACTAATGATATAAACGATTATTCAACGATAGTCAACATTACAGACATGCATCAGTTCTAGTATATTACATAACTAATGATATAAACGATTATCCAACGATAGTCAACATTACAGACATGCATCAGTTCTAGTATATTACATAACTAATGATGTAAACGATTATCCAACGATAGTCAACATTACAGACATGCACCAGTTCTAGTATATTACATTACTAATGATATAAACGATTATCCAACGATAGTCAACATTACAGACATGCATCAGTTCTAGTATATTACATAACTAATGATATAAACGATTATCCAACGATAGTCAACATTACAGACATGCATCAGTTCTAGTATATTACATTACTAATGCTATAAACGATTATCCAACGATAGTCAACATTACAGACATGCATCAGTTCTAGTATATTACATTACTAATGATATAAACGGTCAACATTACAGACATGCATCAGTTCTAGTATATTACATTACTAATGATATAAACGATTATCCAACGATAGTCAACATTACAGACATGCATCAGTTCTAGTATATTACATTACTAATGATATAAACGATTATCCAACGATTAGTCAACATTACAGACATGCATCAGTTCTAGTATATTACATTACTAATGATATAAACGATTATCCAACGATAGTCAACATTACAGACATGCATCAGTTCTAGTATATTACATTACTAATGATATAAACGATTATCCAACGATAGTCAACATTACAGACATGCATCAGTTCTAGTATATTACATTACAATGATACTAATGATATAACGATTATCCAACGATAGTCAACATTACAAACATGGCATCAGATCAGTTCTAGTATATTACATTACTAAGATGATATAAACGCATATTATCCAACGATAGTCAACATTACAAACATGCATCAATTCTAGTATATTACATTACTAATGATATAAACTATTATCCAACGATAGTCAACATTACAGACATGCATCAGTTCTAGTATATTACATACTAATGCTATAAACGATTATCCAACGATAGTCAACATTACAAACATGCATCAGTTCTAGTATATTACATTACTAATGATGTAAACGATTATCCAACGATAGTCAACATTACAGACATGCATCAGTTCTAGTATATTACATTACTAATGATGTAAACGATTATCCAACGATAGTCAACATTACAGACATGCATCAGTTCTAGTATATTACATAACTAATGATGTAAACGATTATCCAACGATAGTCAACATTACAGACATGCACCAGTTCTAGTATATTACATTACTAATGCTATAAACGATTATCCAACGATAGTCAACATTACAGACATGCATCAGTTCTAGTATATTACATTACTAATGATATAAACGATTATCCAACGATAGTCAACATTACAAACATGCATCAGTTCTAGTATATTACATTACTAATGATATAAACGATTATCCAACGATAGTCAACATTACATACATGCACCAGTTCTAGTATATTACATTACTAATGATATAAACGATTATCCAACGATAGTCAACATTACAGACATGCACCAGTTCTAGAATATTACATTACTAATGATAAACGATTATCCAACGATAGTCAACATTACAGACATGCACCAGTTCTAGTATATTACATTACTTATGATATAAACGATTATCCAACGATAGTCAACATCACAGACATGCACCAGTTCTAGTATATTAAATTACTTATGATATAAACGATTATCCAACGATAGTCAACATTACAGACATGCACCAGTTCTAGTATATCACATTACTAATGATATAAATGATTATCCAACGATAGTCAACATTACAGACATGCACCAGTTCTAGTATATTACATTGCTAATGCTATAAACGATTATCCAACGATAGTCAACATTACAGACATGCATCAGTTCTAGTATATTTACATTGCTAATGCTATAAACGATTATCCAACGATAGTCAACATTACAGACATGCATCAGTTCTAGTATATTACATAACTAATGATGTAAACGATTATCCAACGATAGTCAACATTACAGACATGCACCAGTTCTAGTATATTACATAACTAATGATATAAACGATTATCCAACGATAGTCAACATTACAGACATGCATCAGTTCTAGTATATTACATTACTAATGATATAAACGATTATCCAACGATAGTCAACATTACAGACATGCATCAGTTCTAGTATATTACATAACTAATGATGTAAACGATTATCCAACGATAGTCAACATTACAGACATGCATCAGTTCTAGTATATTACATTACTAATGATATAGTAAGTAAGTAAGTAAGTAAGTAAGTAAGTAAGTAAGTAAGTAAGTAAGTAAGTAAGTAAGTAAGTAAGTAAGTAAGTAAGTAAGTAACGACTTTATTTAATGAGGCTAACACATTCGGTTTCCCGATCTTCCATGCGGGCCTCAGCATATACATAGCATATACATAACAATATATACATTACACATTTTAAATAACATATATACACAAATAAAAAAACAAAACTAAAATCAAACAAAAAAACAAAACAAAAAAAAAAACAAAAAAACAAACAAACATCAAGAAACCACATTTTGTAACCTGGGCATGAAAAATACATTTTTTTACAAGTAAGATTAAAACAATATTGTAAAAACAAAACATTATACATTCTATTCTTGTGTGGCATTATCATTACAACAAAATGTACACTCATTTAATTAGAAAATTGCCACTTAATATATGTGGCTTGAAATTTCTTCAAAGTATCTGAATTTCGAATATAAATTGGGATGTCATTCCATATTTTAGGACCAGAATAGTCAAATGATTTCCTAAAGTACTCAGTTGTTGGTTTCGGTATGACTAGTTTCTCATTTTGAACAGATCTTAAGTTGAAGTTGTGTTTGTCATTTATCATTTGGAATTTATTTTTCATATAATTAGGAAAAGATGGCTCATTAATAGATTTATACATGAGAATAGCTTTTTTGTACATAATTCTTTGATCAAAGGACATCCAATTAAGCTCTTTAAATAGTTCATTTGATGGGGAATCAAAACTTTTATCCAAGATTATTCTAGCAGCCCTTTTTTGAAATTTGATAATTTGTGAAAGTAATTCACTACTACAGTTTCCCCATATAGTGCAACAGTAGTCTAAATGAGGCAGAATATATGCATTGAAAAAGAGTTTTCTAGAATGAAGATCAAGATAAACGATTATCCAACGATAGTCAACATTACAGACATGCATCAGTTCTAGTAAATTACATTACTAATGCTATAAACGATTATCCAACGATAGTCAACATTACAGACATGCATCAGTTCTAGTATATTACATTACTAATGATGTAAACGATTATCCAAAGATAGTCAACATTACAAACATGCATCAGTTCTAGTATATTACATTACTAATGCTATAAACGATTATCCAACGATAGTCAACATTACAAACATGCATCAGTTCTAGTATATTACATTACTAATGATATAAACGATTATCCAACGATAGTCAACATTACAGACATGCATCAGTTCTAGTTATATTACATAACTAATGATGTAAACGATTATCCAACGATAGTCAACATTACAGACATGCACCAGTTCTAGTATATTACATAACTAATGATATAAACGATTATCCAACGATAGTCAACATTACAGACATGCACCAGTTCTAGTATATTACATTACTAATGATATAAAGGATTATCCAACGATAGTCAACATTACAGA